AGTGGTTGAAAATTGAAGGTTCTTTCTGAAATTTTGTGGAAAAGGATTTCAATAGGAGATTGAAATTGGAGATGAAAAGAGGATTAAGGCAGAGGCAAAGTATCTCCGAAAGAGCGGAGTGTGAGACTTGTTTACTGGCTGTGTCAAACACAAGTGAATTGTCTAACTTCTCTAAGCCTCTGTTTCCCCATCTGTAATTCAGGCTTAATGCTTCCTCTACATATACCTTCTGAGCTGTGAGGAAAGTACTTTGTAAACCTTAAAACTCTATGCAGATATGAAGTAATATTCTAAGTGTAGGACACGGCAAGCATGAAGGTTAGAAAAAGTGAGGTGAGCCCTACTTTTATTGGAAGAATGTTCTGTTGCTTCTTTTCTTGCTAAAGTTTTTCATACTAAATGTCTGCTTCAAACTATTGCATCCCCTGCCTAGCTAGTAAAGTAGACCCTTCAGTGGGGGTTTATGAGCTAGGATTTAAGAAGATACAGTCTCAGAATACCTTGAATCTGGCATAGCTTTTCTGGTGAGCAATCTTGTCCTTTTGTTTGTCTGTTCTGTTGGCCTTATGGGTGACGCTGTCCTAGGTCCTGGTAAGCAGCCTACTCTGCTGGCTAGAGGTAACTTGAACCATGGCTTGGGACCTGGCAAGCAGCCTATGTCTTTTGGCTAGAGCAAGGGTGGGGAACTTGCAGCCTCCAGGCCACATGTGGCCTTCTAGGTCCTTGGGTACAGCCTTTTGACTGTGTCCAAGTTTTACAGAACAAATCCTTTTATTAAGGGGGAACTGTGAAGTTTGGATTCAGTCAAAGGGCTGCACTTGAGGACCTAGAGTGCCACATGTGGCCTTGAGGCTGCCGGTCCCCCTTCCCTGACCTAGTTGGTCTGAATTTTTCTCTAGGTTGACAGAGATAACTAGTGTAAAGGACAGGAGATGGGAGATGAAGGATCATATGTAAGGAATAGCAAGTAGCCCAGTAGGTCTAGGTTGTAGGGAAATAATGTATGAGACTGGAGAGTGACCAGGGGTCAAGTTGTGAAAGGCTTGAAATGCCACTGGAGTTTATATTTGATCCTGGGAGTAATAGGGAGTCATGGGACTATATTAAGTAAGGGTGTGATGTGGTCATAGCTGTGCTTTAGGAAAATTACTTATGATTTTGTCAGATATTAGATAGCCAAAACAAAAAAAGAATGTTCCTTTTTTCCCTCTGAAATTATATAGAGAGTGTAACCCTTGTGTGGTAGGCTGTGATCTTTCTTGAACAGGTTGTAAGGAAAGAACTATATCTGAGGGAGCAGCTAGGATTTCATAGAGGAAGTTCCAAGGCAGCAGAGGGGATCGATGTTCAAAGAAGAAGTCTCTACCTTGTAGAGAAGAGAGCGTTGATTATAAGCCACTGAGATTTAGCGGGGGCTGGGGTAGTGGTAGCCCCTCTCTCAGGTAGGGGACTAGAGAGAGCATAAAGGTTTTTTGTTTCATGAATAATAGAAGACTTTGTTCTGATGCCATGGTTGCTACTCAGTGCAAGGAGCTGGTGCCTCTTCAGACCTGATGGTTCCAGCCATATCATCAAGGATTTCATGGGGAGAAATTGAAATTGTTCTTATGTTTATAATTGAAATTATACAAGAAAGGAGCTTGTCACTCAACTAAGCAGAACTGAACCAGTGCCAGAACTACCAACCTGGATCTCTGCTCTGTATTCAAAACCTGTATCTTCATTAGCTAAGGAAACCTGTTTTATAATCTTGTAGATTATAATCTAGTCATTTGTGCTGTCTGTGTTTCTGGGCTTGTTATGGTTCCCCAAGCCTCCTAGCATCTTAGTCCTCTAAATCCAGTGATCAAATGCACAGTGCCTGGCACATAGTAGATGCCATATAAATGTTAGCTATATCATCATCGTCATCATTGTCATCATCGTCATTACCATAGTCATCATCATTGTGTCCATGCTATCTAGAGCAGAAAGGAATTAGATTACATTTTGTGAGTTTCACTCTTCTTTGTTTGAGCTCCCAAGGCAAAAATCTCTCCATTGAATAGCCTAGAAGAGTGACTACCAAATCCATTTAACAAAAAACTCCCTAATTTCCAAAATGCTTCCCATATAACTACATCAAAAGAAGGTTTCATTTAGAAAAAAAGAAAAAATCCACAAATAATTCACAGTAACTCCGAGTTCAGAAGATTTTAAGAGAAATGTTTCTGAGAGTCTCAGGTAGTAGCATTTGTCTAAGAGGGATGTTTGTGCGTCATTCATGGAATATACAAACTTCTGGAACCATATCCTTGTTGCTTCATTTTATTTCTGATGATACTTGAGCATGTCCATGATTCTTATTTCATTACTATACTCAGGACACAGAAGGTACCAGGGGACAGGATCATGTTCTTTCCTAATGAAAGATACATTCCTGCTTTCCTAATGAAAGATATATTCTATCTCTCCCTCCTTTTCTTTATTCAACAACTGAGTGGGGAAATGGGCTAGTAAATTGTGACTCCATAGTCAGGTTGACCTGTGTCTCAACAAAGCTCAATGGTTCTTTCAATTCTCCTGGGAAAAAGATGATTTATTCTGCTCCTAGATTGTACCCCAATGCCTAAGTTGCTAGGCTATCTCAACTGGTTCTAAATTTATTCCCAAGAAGTACTTGGACTTATGCCAATCAAATTATGTCCTTCGAACAAAGTGTGTGATTTACACTGGGAAAATGTTTCCTTTCACCCTCTTTTTCACTAAAATCAAGGCAATTTGAAATTATGTAATTTATGTATAATTTGTGGGCAGTCAATGAACAAGCATAAACAACTATTTTGAAAATAAAAGGCTCTGCCCTTAAGGAGCTTACATTATCAGAGGAGGCAACTTGTACTAATATAAGTATTTACAAAATATATATCCTGAAATATAAGATAAATTTTGGGTTGGAAGGTGAAGAGAGATTGCATTCCAGAAGGATAACGTATGCAAAGGCAGAGAACAGGATGTAATGCCATGTGTGAAGAACAGCAAGAAGGCCAGTATGGCTGAAGAAAACTAAATAATCATTAAAAAATCTTTAGGGAAAGAAACCCAAGTCTTAAATCAAAATTTTATTGCTAGCAGTGGAAACATCACATTGGGAGTAACTGCGAGGGAAGCAGTGGACAGTATATTTTAAAATGTACAGATGAAGGGAGGGAAGCAGCAGTAAGACTAAAGGGGAAGAAAAGGGAAAGGGATAATAAAAGGGGGAAGGGACTGAAGGAGGTGGTAGTCAAAAGCAAAACACTAGTGAAGGGGGGAAAGGAAAAAGGAGAAAGAAAAGCATAAATGGGGGAAAAAAGGATGGAGAAAAAGACACAGATAGTAATCATAACTGTGAATGTGAATGGGATGAACTCTCCCATAAAATGGAAATGGATTGCAGAATGGATTAAAAACCATAATCCTACAATATGTTGTTTACAGGAAACACATTTGAAAAAGAGTGACACATACAGGGTAAAGGTAAAAGGCTGGAGCAGAATATATTATGCATCAGCTGAAGTAAAAAAAGCAGGGGTAGCAATCCTGATCTCTGATAAAGCAAAAGCAAAAATAGATCTAATCAAAAGAGATAAGGAAGGAAACTACATCCTGCTAAAAGGCACCATAGACAATGAAATAATATTACATTAAACTGAAAAATTTTTGCACAAACAAAGCCAATGCAACTAAGATTAGAAGGAAGGTAGAAAATTGGGAAAGAATTTTTACAACCAGTCTTCCTGATAAAGGCCTCATTTCTAAAATATGTAGAGAATTAAGACAAATTTATAAGAACACAAGCCATTCCCCAATTGATAAATGGTCAAAGGATATGAACAGACAGTTCTCAGATGAAGAAATTAAAGCCATCTATAGTCATATGAAAAAATGCTCTAAATCATTATTGATTAGAGAAATGCAATTAAAACAACTTTGAGGTACCACATCACATCTATCAGATTAGCCAACATGACAAAACAGGAAAATGATAAATGTTGGAGAGGATGTGGGAAAATTGGAACGCTAATACATTGTTGGTGGAGTTGTGAAATGATCCAACCATTTTGGAGAACAACTTGGAACTATGCCCAAAGGGATACAAAAATGTGCATACCCTTTGATCCAGCAATAGCACTTCTAGGGCTATATCCCAAAGAGATCAAACAAATGGAAAAGGACCCACATGTACAAAAATATACATAGCAGCTCTTTCTGTGGTGGCAAAGAATTGGAAATTGAGAGAATGCCCATCAATTGGGGAATGGCTGAGCAAGTTGTGGTATATGAATGTAATGGAATACTATTGCGCTATAAGAAATGATGAACAGGCTGACTTCAGAAAAACCTGGGAAGACTTATATGGTCTGATGCTGAGTGAAGTGACCAGAACCAAGAGGACTTTGTACACAATAGCTGCCACGTTATGCAATGACTAAGAATGTTAAACTGAACCCTTCTCTTCATTACGAGGATCTAAGACATCTCCAGAGGCCTTGGGAAGGAAAATGCTGTCCACATCCAAAGAAAGAACTATGGAAGTCGAATCACTCTCACTTATTTTTACCTTCAGTTGAGTTTTGTTTCATCTTTCTGATGGTTCCTCCTATTTGTTTTAATTTTTACTTACAACTTTGCTAATGTGAAAATATATTTAATGGGTATGTAAATGTAAAGCCTATGTCAGATTGTGCCCCGTCTTGGGGAGGGTGGGGGGGAGAAAAAGGGAGAAAAATTTTCAACTCAAAAGCATATGGAAAAAAAATTAAAAAAAAATGAAATTCCAAAAATAAAATAAAACAAAATAAAATGTACAGATGAAAACATCTGACTAGCACTTTTTCAAATTCATCTCAAAGGAAATTGTTACCACAAGTTTGCTGTACCAAGAACCAGGAAACATTGTGAAATAAGTGTGCAATTTTTTTTAAAAAAGAACTTTGCTAGTTTCAGGGACTGCATTTTCTAAGTGCCCTGTTGGAAAATTTACTCGTTGGAACTGACTTATTGGAGTAATTGAATACATTGAATGTCTTCATCATTTGGTATTATCTGAGTAGCAGCTATATTCAATAGTACCTAGCCAGAAACTATGGTAATCCTGTTAATTCTGAAGATTTTTCTGGCTTTCTCTATAGTGCTAGGAAATGGCTTGATTATTATGGCATTTGTGGTGGACAAAAATCTTAGACTTCGGAATAACTATTTTTTCCTTAATCTGGCCATTGCTGACTTTTTCGTGGGTAAGTTGTTATACATACTTATTTGACAAGATTTCTATATTGATAATGATTTATTTCTTAAAGATACATCATGCTATTTTAAGGAATAGGGAAGGGTTAAAATAAGGAGTTGAATTGTGTTAAGGTTTAAGAAATGCCAGGTAGAACTCTTATGTTTCTTAAAAGTAATATAAAGGGAGAATTTTTTTTGTTAAGAGAAGTTTTTATTTTTGCTTGTGCATAATAAAAATAACTTGTTGAATGTTTTTTTTCCCCAGATAAGTCCAACTTAATGGTTATATGTTTTTGGAGTTTTCGCTCCCATATTTGGATTAATATGAATTCCTTTTTTAAAAAATGATTTTTTTGCCTTAACTTCATAAAATAACAACATTAGTAGATAGTTAAAGCTAACCAAAATGATCAATATATTGAATGCTTTGGTTAATAGTCAATTATCTATCTGTATGTTTACACACACGTATAATTAAAGCTTTACATGTCCTTTTCTTCAAGGCTCAGTTCAAGGTGCCTTTGTAAAGTCTTTTATAATTCCTCCCAGAAAAAGTATTTTTTCTTCCTCCCTAAGTTTTATAGGACACTGTCTAGACCTCTTCTTTGCTCCCATCACACTCTACCTTATAATACACTTATTGATTTAGGCATTGTATTCACCCTAGTAGTTTGTAAGTTCTTCAGGGTAAAGATTATCTTTCATATTTTTTTCCTTGATGCTTGGTACTTGGTAAGTGTTTGTTGAATTGAATGGAACATAGATAATACTAAAGCTGATCTCACCATAGTTTAAACATCTAGTCTTGAGAGGCAATGAAGCATAGTGGAAAGAGTGCTGGTTTCAGGGTCAGGAGATCTGGCTTTGAATTCTACCTCAGATACTTATTTACCTGTGTGACTGTGGGAACATCATTAAACCGATCGATGCCTCAGTTTCTTCATCTGTAAAAATGGAGATAATATCCCTTGTAGGACCCACCTCATAGGGCCTTTAAGAAAAATAAAACTATGAGTTGTTCTCCTTGTTGTCATAATCATCATTCTCATAAAGGAATATCAGAGCTCACATTCTGTTTATGGATGAGGAGCTGATTTCTGGAATGCTTAAGTAACTTGATCAAAGTCACATAGCTTGTTAATCTTGCTTTGATGGTTTGGGAAGTAATTTCAGTATCTTTAGCCTATCAGAGTTTCAGTTTCATAACATAAATTTTTTTTTTTTTGGCTAGGCAATGGGGTTAATTGACTTGCCTAGGGTCACACAGCTAGTAAGTGTTATGTGTCTGAGGCCGGATTTGAACTCAGGTCCTCCTGAATCCAGGGCCGGTGCTCTATGCACTGCGTCACCTAGCTGCCCCTCATAACATAAAAATGAAGATAATCAAACTCATATTACCTATTACACAGGGATCAACATATATATATTTTAAAAGTGATAAAATTTGCAACATATGAATTAAAAAAACCATTTAAGTGTTTTCTATATGTAGAGCAGCACCAAGAGATTTGAAGGCATTTGACTTCACAGGTTTCTAGGGGATTTGGCACTGGAAGTGACCTTAGTGATAAACCACTGCACTGTACTTCCCCTATTACCTCATAATTAAATACAAACTCCTCTGCTTGACTGTTCACAACCTGGTTTCAACCTACATTTCCAGGCTTATTGATCACTATGCTTCTTCATGGACTCTGTGATTCAGCCAGACCATCTGTCCGTCCTGCTTTTCCTCATCCTTGGCATTCCATTTCCCATCTCTGACTTTGAACGGGTTCTCCTCCAAGCTTGGAATACACTCTCTTCTCATTTTTATCTCTTTTCTTCAACTTTCTGCTCCTTTAAAGACCCCTTCCTACATGAGGCCATTTATAATCCCCTTTAGAATAACCATGTTTGTTTGTATTGCATGTATTTTGCTCATAGTTCTATGTGGACACATCAATTCCCTTGATAGCACAAAGCCCTTTGAAAGTAGTGGTTGTTTCATTTCTGTCTTTGCATCCCCAGCACCTGGCACCGTGGTAGTATATAGAGGACACTAAATATAAATAAGTGGTTGTTGATTGATTGAGGAACTTCATCATGAATGTCATAGTATTTTTGTAATGTAGGTTATAACAATAATTATTGTTGTTGTTCAGTCATGTGTGACTCCTCGTGACCCTGTGGACCATACTGGCTATGGGGTTTTCTTGTCAAAGATACTGAAATGGTTCTGCCATTTTTTCTCCAGCTCATTTTACAGATGAGGGAATTGAGGCAAATAGGGTTAAGTGATTTGCCCAGGGTTACACAGGCTAGATTTGAACTCAGGTCTTCCTGACTCTAGGTCTGGTGCTATATCTGCTGTCACCTAGCTGCTTCATGAATTGTAGATGTGTGCAACTGTTAAAAAACTCTTGCTGTTAGAATGATGTCTTACAGAGATTATTACTTTAATTCAATCTCATGTACGTGTACAGAGGGTAGAATTTTTCTTTATTTGTTCTACTATTTTTCTCCGTATGCATATGATGGGTTGCTTTTCATTCTATATCCTTTAAGATGATGTTTTAATTAGGGGGAGGGTCTTCAGCTGTGATTTCATTGGCAGAGGAAACTCCTTTTACAAGTGCAGGTCATCATCTTCTATCTGACCTAATTTTAGAGAGTGCTTACAGCACTAGAGGCTTAAGTGACTTGGCCAAGGTCACACAGCCAGTGCATGTCAGAGGCAGTACCTGAACCAGGAGTTCTTCCTGGCTTCAAGGCTGGCTGTCTATCCATTATGTCAGACTGTCTCCCTCTTAATTATTCATTATGTGTGTGTATATACATACATGCACAAATATGTGTACATAATTACATATAGCTTATGTGTATCTGTATATGCATTGCATACACGTAGGCATATGTAAGCACATGTGTATATGTCAACATACCTACAATTGTATATGTACATATGTGCATGCACATGCATTCACAAGCATGTGTATATTATATGCAACACACATGCATATATGCGTATATGCAATCACATGTATACATGTGATACATGTGAACATACATTTATATGTATGTGTATATGTGTAAGCACACCTGTATATGTATATATGCATATGTGTTTGTAAGCATGTATATATGTAAGCATATACATGAGGAATAATTAAGGAAGAAGCATCTTGGCTTAGTATTTATATTGGGATATATGCATATATAAAGCAGTATATTGGCATACACGCACACACAAACACACAGTACACACACAATGCAATATATACACAACATACATACATGTATGCACACATGCATGCATATAGTTGATGGGTAGCAGTTGCTTATGACTCTCAAGAGAAACGAGAGAGCTCTTTCCAGTGAGAACCAAAAGGTCTGGTGGGGCATGGTGGCACATTCCTGAAATCCCTGCTGCTAGGTAGGCTGAGGTTGGCAGGATGCTTGAGCTTGGGACACCTAGTGTCCGAATTGCTTCAACCTGTTCTTTCATTCCCTCCACACTGCATGTTAACTGGGTAAAGACCAAAGCTCTGGGTTCTTGGTTATGGAGAGGCTTGAGCCCTGTTTGTTTTGCAGCTGAATGCACTGCTATGTAAATCGTTTGTCTGGATGCTACTTGATTTTTTTATTTCAATGTCACAGTAGTGACAGTGTCCAATTCCCTGATTTACAAAGGAGGAAAAGGAGGTCCAGTTAAGTGACTTTCCAAGGCTCCAGTGGCACCTCCTACACAAGACCTTTTCTGATCCTCCAGCTGCTAGTATCTTCACCCCAAATCACCTTTTCCCTGTTCTGGATGGAATTATACGTGCTCATGTTTTCCCAATAGACTATAAACTCCTTAAGGGCAGGCACCGTTTTCAGTTTTGTGTTTGTATCCCTAGTACCTCCAATGGTACCATGCTCATGGTAGGCAGTATGGCAGGTGGCAAAGCCTCGGATATTTACTAGCTGTGTAACATGTACAAACTACTTACCTTCTGTCTGCCTCAGTTGCCTCAACTGTAAAATGGAAATAATGATAGCACATACCTCCCAGGATTTTTGTGAGGATCAAATAAGATGATATTTGCAAAGTGCTTAATACAGTGCTAGCACGTAGTATGTGGTTAATTAATGCTTGTTTCCTTCCTTAATAGATACTTATTGATTGATCAGCAAATTTTTATTTATTTTATTCATTTTTATTATTATCATAAACATTCACACACTGTGGTCTCAGACCAAGTTATATTATCTTTGTATGAATTCATCTGTGTTGTTTTTATCTTTCTTTTCACAGGTGCAATCTGCATTCCTTTATATATCCCTTATGAATGGGAAAAGGAATGGAGCTTTGGAAGTGAGCTCTGTATATTCTGGCTAGTTATTGACTATCTTTTGTGTACAGCATCAGTGTATAACATTGTCCTCATCAGCTATGACCGGTACCAATTAGTCTGCCATGCTGTAAGTAGAATGTGTGCATTTGACTATTTTCCCCCCTCTTTAACTTAAAATATAAATTTGAATTTGTAATCCTAAAGCAAGAAAAAAAAACCTGTAAGGAACCCTAACTTTTGCTTAATTGGGAAATAGTAGAGAAAAGCCTTTTCCTTTTATGTTCTGTGACAAAATTTCCATCTTCCCTTGGTAAAAATTACAGCTGTTACTTTGACCCATGTGTTTTAAAGCTTTCTGATACAAATGATGTGGTATGGTGCTATTAGGCAGGCCACTTTCTGGGGGATAACAGGTTCAAAAAGACACCAAGGGAAGTGTGCAGATTGTCAAATCTGCATAGATAATCTGCACCGGTGGGTGTGTACAGGAAGAGAGATTAAGACAAAGATTGCACACATCTGGTCAGCACTGTTCTACAAGTGAGCTGAGAGCTAAAGTGTTCCTTAGACAGAAATAGGAACTTGATTCAGTGATCTGTCCATCAGTCAAAAGTGCTGCCTAGAGATGAAGAGATAAGCATCCTCTTCTCAATTCCCTTAGTTGTCCATTATCCCATTTGACCTTATGCATAATGGAAAGGAGATCGTTTTCCAGCATATTGCATCATATCATTACAAGGGCTGAGCAGAGCAATTAAAAAGCTAAACACAGTTTAGTGTGACCATCTGGGTATTGTTACCATCTTCATAATCGTTAGATTTAATTCAAGAGATATATTAATTAGTGGTGCAGGAAGCAGAAGGCAGGGAAAAAAAGCAAACTGTAGTAGGAACTTGTGGTCAGCACCATATACATTTTAACTTAGTCTTGGAATTACTAATAGTTTCCCCAAAAGTTACTTACTAGAAAATCTTATTTAGCCTACAGTTTTCACTAGTTTCTTCTCACTAGCTACTCTCATTATGGAAGAAATGAGGGTGTATAGTTCCTCAGTTCAATTCAGTTCAGCAAGAGTTAGTTGAGTGCCTTTTATGTGCCAGACACTTCAGTAGGGGTTAGGATATAGTCCCTGCTCTCAGGAAGCTTTTGTTCTACTGGGAGGAAACAAGTTACACATGCTTAAATTAAGACTATACACATGCGCACATACACACATATGTGTGTGTGTATATATGGACATATGCATGTATATCTATACACACAGAGTAGATCAAAATAATTTCAGAGACGGGGAGAGTACCCATAATTGCATGGGAATGCAGGGGATCAGAAAAGGATTCCTGATGCCTGAATTTTGCTTTGAAGGAAGCCAGTGATTTTCTGAGACAGAAGTGAGCAGGAAACAGTAACCTGTGCCTCCGTATAGATGGAGAAGGTGGAAGATTATGCATGGAGGCCAGTAAATAGCTTAATTTGGTGGGAACATAGAGTGCATAAGGAGGCATAATCTGAGATTGGTCTGATACATAGGTTGGTGTTAGACTGTGAAGGGTTATAAATGCCAATCAGTATTTTATCCTAAAGGCATTTAGGAGTCCCTGAAGTTTCCTAAGCAAGGTATCTACCTGTATTTTGGGAATATCATTGGCAGGTATGTGTATGATGGATTGGAAAGGGGAGGGAAGAGAAACAGGGAGCCCAATTAGAGCCTATTATAATAGTCCATTCAAGAGGTAAGGAATGCTTGACTAAGGAGGTAGCTAGTTGAGTAGAGAGAAGGGGACAAATAGAAAACATTTTATTGATGTGGAATGATTGGGATTTGGTACTGATTAGACATAGGTTGGAGGTGAGGGACAGTGAAGAGCTGAGGGTGGCTCTGAGGTTGTGAACCTTGGTAATTCAGGCATGGTTGTTCCCTTGACAGAAATAAAGATGCTTGAGATTTTATGGTTAGATTGTCTCCTTTCTTAGAAGTGAAAAAAACACTAAGGACTTCCTCAGTTTGCAAAGTATATTTATGCATGATCAGCTGGACTGGATTTCAAGGCAGAGAGACAGAACCTCACATTCTATTGATCCAACTATGGGGCTTATTAATAGTATGCAAATTGATGGAATGGATAAAGGAGATGGAGGGTCCATTTGCCCTAAGCGTTCCTGCCATCAGGGCTCTTGATGCTGTATCTGTCTCAGAGGGACAATGCAATACGTACAAATGTCCGAAGTAAGTCGTCCAAATAAGGGCAGCTGGGTAGCACAAGTGTGTAGAGCTGTGGGCCTGAATTCAAATCTAGCCTCTGACACTTACTAGCTGTGTCACCCTGGGCAAGTCATTTAACTGCCTCAGTTTCCTCAACTGTTAGATGGGGAGTTGTGAGGATTGAATGGGAGTATTTGCGAAATGCTTAGCACAGTGTCTAGCACATAGTCGGTGCTTAAAAATACTTGTTTCTTTCTTCTTCCCTTCCATCCCCTATATCCAGGCGACTTTGCCCAGAGCTACATTTACAGTCTTGTTATTGATGGCCTAAGTGGATGGGTTGGGGAGGGGTTAGGGTCTGTGTGAGTTTTATGCTGTAGTAGACAAGGAGCTAAAGACTTTTACAAATGTACCAGTTTAGGGTAAGCAGACCCTAATCACTTTTGAATACACCAGTCATGAGATGCCACCTAAGGATAAGCCCAGGGGCTGCTGGAGTTTCTTTGTTCTGAGGGTTACACTTAATGGACTCATCAATCATTTGAGCTATTTTTTTTTTGTTCATGTCCATCTTCTTCTCCGAGAGATGAAGTTGAGTCTAACGAGATTTTATCCCCCACCAATAAAGGCTTTTGGTACATAGAGCCTTTAGATTTTGAAAAGATGATATACTTATGAAGTAGGTCAAGACTTCATGGTTGATAGAATACCGATTGAATTTTGTGATCTGCGTCTCTGCATTTATAGGAATCACATGTTTTCTTAGACAACATACCTGTTCTCTACAAATAGAGCTAAATGACAGATCTTTACCTCCTGACAGTAATTTGTTTGATTTCTTTTAGATATCGTATCGATCTAAACAAACATCGATCTCAAGGACAGTCACTTATATGGTAGCTGCGTGGGTGCTGGCATTCTTAGTACATGGTCCAGCAATCCTAAATGGGAGTAACAAGAAGAGCGAGAATACAGAATGCAGAAACCAACTTCTTCATACAATCCCTTACATCATCATCACTTCCATCTTGGAGTTCTTGATCCCAACCATCTTGGTGACCTATTTCAACTGTTGCATTTATTGGAGCCTACACAGTCGCAGTAGTGTCAGAGGCAAACCTGCTCCTACCCCTAGCATCCCTTCTCCAGTCCAAGACAACTCAGTGACCTGCACAGTATTTTCAAAGATATGTTTTCCTAAACTGGATGAAGAAATTCATTCCTCTTCTGTGAAAAGTATGAGAAAGAAAAGCCTTTTTGCTTCTTTAAAAACCCAAGTAGAGGATGAAACAGCTTCTGTTGAATTGTCCTCTTTATCCCAGTCAAATTCTGTGTCCGTTGACTTAATAGTTCGGCGTCGGAAACTACTCAGAGATAGAAAAATAGCCAAGTCACTTGCCATTATTTCAGGGGCTTTTGTCTTTTGCTGGGCTCCGTATACTTTGTTTACAATTATTCGTTCATTTCACTATAATAATGCATACGATCCCTGGTATACTTTTACATTTTGGCTTCAGTGGTTTAATTCCTTTCTCAACCCCTTTCTGTATCCTCTGTGCCACAAAAATTTCCGGAATGCTTTCGTGAAAATATTTTGTAAGAAAAAGGTAATTGCTTCAACACAGATATCACTTTCCACTTGAGTACAATGTAGGAAAATCAGAATCTCGCCTATTGTATATGAGTTTGTTTTAGCTCACATCTACCCCTTATATCATAGTGCTCTCTCTGCCTCTCCCCTCCCCCTTCTCCCAAGGAGGGTGGGGAAATCACCAGCACTTCTGGATAATTCTGTATAATTACCTAGAATAATTCTGAATAGCTCTGGAAATAAGGGAGATATGAGAGACAGTATGGTATAATAGTCAGGAGATCTGGGTTTTAGTCCTGGCTCTGCTGCTAATTTGTTCTGCAACCTTGGGCAAGTCACCTAGGTTTCTCTGGACCCTGGGTTCTTTATGTAAAATGAAGGGAATGGACTGTATGATCTCTAATGTTCCTTCTAAAGTTGTGCACCCTAATGTTTTTTTTTAACAAATTAAAATGTATCATATCATCGATTTAGAGATGGAAAGGATCTTAGAAGTCACCTAGTCCAATGCCCTCATTTAACAGATGAGGAAACTGAGGCCCAGAGAGATGTGTGCAAAGTCAAATTCTTATTTGAATAAGTGGTAAAGGTATGCTGTGAAAATATATCCTCTGATGCCAGATTCATTGGCCTTTCTACTTACTGCAGACTGCCTTATAGATCAGTCATAATGTTTTAAAATATGTAATCACATACATACTATATTTATTTTAGCTGTTGCATCTCTAGACTGTGATATATAGATTGCATCAGGCAAAGTTTTTCTGATCTCTGTATATACTTGTATTTTGTTTCATCTATGGAAATTCTCCTTTACCTTGATTAGTCAAAGAGGTAAGATAAAGATAGGGACTACGCTATGGTTTCATTAGTATATGGATTTCTCAGTAAACTCCTTCTACCAATGCAGGTCAGCACCTTCTCTGCAAATTACAACCCTAAAAACTTGCCTAGAGGGTTGAAAAGGTAAATGATTTGCCCAGGTCACACAGTTAGAATAAGTGGCAGGTGGACCTTGAACCCAAGTCTTCTGAGAAAAATAAGGATTATATTGGCCTATGGTCCTTATTTTAGAAGGAAAACATTGGGAAGAGGGGGCAGTTTAAATTCTTCAAGAGCCTCATCAAAATCTTCTTAATCAGGACCTAAAAACCACAGGAGCAGACAATAAGTCATGAGAAAGGACAGCAAATTGGATAAAAAATAGAATTGTCTCGTTGCCAATGTCCTTCTTTTCTCTTTCCTTCCTAATAACACCTGATACTTACTTGGTCATACAGGCGAGAAAGGTACAGGGTGAAGTAAGCAGTAGGAAGGTCACTAAGATTAAGGTGGTGTGTTTAGAGAGGCCAGAAATGGATGGAACAGAGATACTATTCTGAAAAATGAAGATGCTAAAGAAGAAATGCCATTTTTTAAATCACAGAGGTGCCTAAAAATTTGCTTTTCACAATAAGATTATGTATATCTGAAGGACAGGGGCTTTGTTACATACTACTTTTGTAATGTCCACAGGGCTGAGCATAATTTTCAACAAATATGGGGTACAGTGGAATGAGCTGAAATCCCAGTTCTGAGTTTCTCATCTGTAGAATGATAAGGGGACAGGACAATATGGTATGTTTTGGGCTCCCTCTTTTGTGTTTGTCCTTTCTTGATTATAGGTGAATGAATACTTATCATGAAATGGATGTATACAGCCTTAGAGGCAGTCTTATGAATGGAGAGGTCCAAAGGTCCCATTGAGTTTAGGGGAGGAGCAGCAGGGGAGGAGTACCTAGAGATGACATCCACTGACAAGGAGATTGTTTCAAGTATTACCAGCAGGTGTACTGGGAATTGTTTGGACAGTGTGGAGCTAAGGTGACATGTAAAATGCCTGATTGTCAGTCCTGCAAACTACATCATTTTCTGATGACAGTCCTGGAGTGGGTGTTAAATGAGACTGTAAATACAGGGAGCCTATCTCACCTCTCGTTAGAGGACAGGCTCCCCAGTTTGGAACCCCAGCCAAGCCACATGTCTTAATACAGAGCAGGGAGTGGACACAGAACAAGGTTAGATAAATATGATATTTGTAATGCAGGGTTTTTACACTCTGATCCCAGAGGGTAAAGGATATGAAGTTATTATTTTTACAAGAAAAAGGGACATTTTAAAAATAAAACCCACCATATACATGGAGTTAATCCTCAGCTTTCATGGGGGTAATGGCATGAAAATAAAAAATGTGAATGTTGATACAATGAACTTATGGGACGCAGGGGGTTAGGTTCTGACAACCACTAAAAACTGTTATCTTGAGCTAGAGATCGCTGAAAATACTCTTTTCTGCATACAATTCTTTATAAAAAAGCGTTAATTTTGATAATATGTACTTTTCCTAACACAGTAACTATGAAATAACCAATAAAATGCATTACACAAAATAAAATTGGTAACATGCAAAACATTTTTTCTTGCTAGTAATTCCCTAGAACTCTGTGACTTTTTGTGCCAACATCTCAATTAAAAAATTGATTTCAAACAATATTCACTTTTCATAACACATGAAATCTACAGTACCATAAATTCTGTAAAGCAAATAAAATTCTTAAACCTAAAACATTTAAACCTGAATCTTACTCTGCACTGTGTCAGATGGTGGGGATGAGGGCATTGCACTGTATAATAAATCCTTGATTTGATAACACCAAACTCGGGGGCTGACAGCAGCTGCAGACATTCTGGAAATTTATCTGACACTTTTATTTTCTCACTAAGCCTCATCACTGACTTTGCACACTTGGGCCTAGAGCCCAAAGAACGTGTACTATTCTTTAGGGGCATACTTGCAATGCAAAACTTGAGTTTTAAAGACAAACAATGAAAATATGCAAAGAATGCACGGGGAGCTCTTTACTCTAAAATGGTAGGGTGAACAAGGACCAGTGAAGCGCCTAGTATGATACCAGCCACTCTACAAACTTGTGCACATTGTACCTCTTATTTTTTTCTCTACTGCACATAGCTGAAATGAAAGTGAAAATGAGGTTATTAATAAAATCATGGTGAATGTATCATGCATGTAAATTAAATGCAAGGATGTTGAGGAATGACTATATATGCCTAATAAATAAAAAAAAAACAAGTCATAAGAAGATGAACACAGATGAGAAACAGGTCTACATTATTCATTCAAATATGGTTGCTTTGACTATAACAGATGCATGCTCATAACTATAATTTAAAGCAACAAGACGGCCTTTTTTAAAAAAGGTCATGGTTATTTCTCTCGAGAGTAGGAACATTGTTTTTGCAAAATGGTTAAGTGGCAGCAGAGATTATGGCTTCTGCAATATAAACAATTGTACTATATAATGATAAAACTACAGAGGTGAGCATGTGCCCCAGCAGTAGAGGAAAAAAGGTAATGGGCCTCACAGAAAAGCAAGCTGTGCCCAGTTGTGTGCATCTGTCTTCCTTAATTGCCCAGTTCAGCTTTCCTCAAGAGGTAACACAACCCCTTTAAGACTCCATCTTAAATCAGATACAGCCAAATCTAATTACCCAGGGGCTGATTAGCTGCTCCATGTACTAGCCAGATCTTTTTCTTAGCTTCTTGCTTTTGCTACCTGCCTTAGGTAATGATTACATAGCTTCTTAGCTTTAAAATTCCTCACAGAATCACAGAACTGGAGTTGGAAGGGAACTCAAAGGCCATCTAGTCTAATTTTTGAAGAAGAACCCTTTCTACAACTTCCCTAATGGTGGGCACCTGGCTTTGGCTTAGAAACCTCCAGTGAGGGGATACCCACTACCATTTCACTTGAGCATGGCTCTTCATACCTAGTTTAGATTTGTTTCTTTATAACTTCCACCCATTGTTCTTAGCTCTGTTCTCCAGGGTCACTCAGAGCAGGTATAATTTCATGTGACAGCTCTTAAAATACACAAGTACAGATCTCCTCCCCAAATCTCTTTTCCAGGCTAATGTTCCAAAGAACTTGAATATACTCTCTTTCTGATGTGTTCATGCAAACCTTCATTAGGGGATGGTCAAGGAAAAAGAAGGGGGCATTGAAGCCAGTGGATCTGGCTAATTGTTTGTAGCTTGAGACAAAGATTTCATAGTCTCCTTGGTTGCAGCCCTTTCCCTCTTTATACCATCCTTCACACCACTGCCAAAATAATCTTCCTAATTATAATTGGATAACTGGTTGACTGGGTCTCTGGAGGATGGACTCTTATCATAGGAGCCATCTCCCTCCATGGTCTATAAACGTGAGTTGACAGTCTAGCTTGGCTCTTTTTGGAATACCCTTTCAGAAGGTAGACCAGCATATGGCAAAGTTGATCTGGTTTTGTGGAGAAGAAAGCTTATACCTGAATATGGTGCCTACCCCCAGGTATTGGTAATAGATGGCTTGGAGCGGAAGCACATGAGAGTTGTATGTACGAGAGCACTTAGCTCAAGAGGAGAGAGCCTGAAAATGTATTCACCCAACTCAAGGGATTGTAGCAGCTAGAAACGTGATAGAGTTGCTGCAGAAAAGCACATGAGGCAGAAACACACACGTGCTGTCCTTTGTGACTGGAGGGGAATTTATTTGAATACTTTCTGAGATTTCTGTTTATGGGCTTCTAGGGGTCCCCGTCTTCTGTATTTATTGTGGCAAAATTAAGGCTATACTACCTGGTATACATTTGCTATTTTATATGCCTGTATGGGAGGTGTTGTTCATTCGTTTTTAGTAGTATCTGACTCACTGGGACTCCATTTTGTGGTGTTCTTGGCAAAGATGCTGGAGTGGTTTGCAATTTCCTTCTCTAGCTCATTTTACAGATGAGGAACTAAAGGAATCAGGGTTAAGTGATTTGCTCAGGGTCACACAGCTAGTAAGGGTCTGAAGCTGCATTTGAACTCATGATGAGTCTTCCTGATTCCAAGCCCAGTGCTCTATCTACTGTGCTACCTAGCTGCCCCTTGAGAGATAGTTTACCCTTCTATTCACATTTGGCTTAAGCTATACCTAGGTTTTATTTCATAGACACTCTTCGTAGTAGTTCTTAGTGAAGACAATGATACAAAGAGCAAAAATGACCATTTGGGGGTCAAACTCAGGGCTCAGGCCCTGACTATGTTGAATTTTGTGGGAGACCTGGGACCATTAGACATACTTGAAGTCTAAAATCAAGACAGAGGAATAAAAGATTCAATGTACTGGGCTGTATTTGGTGCCGTCTAGTAGAATATACATTTATTGAGAAGAGAGAATAATTTCAATTTGGCATTTTATGCCCTCAGGGACTGTGACACTAAGGGTTCAAATGTAGTAGTTCTACTATCCTTGATGAAGAACAATTTATTAAAATAGTTTTTCAAATAACTTCTATTTTTCTTCTGTTTGAAGTCCATCTTTTTGCTTTATCCTTGATTGC